TTCTTGCTGCAAATTGAAGTCTTCTCTCACAGCAAATTATTCCATTAATATCAAAGCTTCTATTTTACAAGTACAATTTGACTTATTAAAATAGGAAACCAAATAAGAATAAAGAAAATAAATTTCAATAAATCTGAATCTTTCCAAACAGGTTTATTGCAGCAAATCAATCTCCAAAATCAATTGAATGCTGCAAATGAATCTCTAACTCAAACCCAAAATCAAATCTTTTAATTTGTAAAATAATGCTAATATGGAAATCCCAATAGGTTGCTTGGCGACTGACGTTAAAACCACATCTTAGCACTTCTAGTGTCGGTTGATAAGCGTACTACGTTAAAAGTACTAAGAATAAGCTTTTAACATTGGCTCATAGGTGACCGATGTTGAATGCTATCTATTTTTGTTTATGTGAAATACCCCACATTGGTCAAACGTACTGCATATAGTGTTGGAACTTTGGGCCGGCGGCCTGTCCGAAACTTGAATTTTTCGGGCTCGACGGGTAAGTCCAAAGGCCGGCCCGTTCAACTCTATTTTTTTGGGCTCAGGCTCGGGTTGCCCAAAAATGGACAGTTCGCCGGAGCCCACCATCAACCGTTGTCCGCCGAAATTTTTTTGAATTTTTTCACTTAGGCCTGAATTGCCCGAAGCTCGAGCCCAACCAACGGATATATTTTTGACCGTTGGTGCCCGACCCGACATGAAGCCCGAATTGGCCGAATCCAACGGCTCTTTTTTTAACTGTTGCCTGATTTTGGGCCTGAACCCGCACGAACCCGACCCGCCGAGATAAAAAATAATTGTGGGATCTGAATTTGGGGGGAAAAAATTAATTTTTTAACCAAAAAATTTCTCAATAAATACCCCTCATCCCCTACACATTTTTCTCACCCAAACTCTCTTAATCCCTTTCAATTTCTCTAAATCTCTCTCAATTTCTCTCAATCTCTCTTAATCTCTCAAATCTCTCTCATAATTTTTATAAAAACTATCACACTATCATAAAGCTCTCTCTTTCAAATCGCTCTTATTTTTTATAATGGATTCTTTTGGTTATAGTGGTATTCCTGTTGATGCCCAAAACAACATGAAAGAAGGGTAATTTCCCACTAATGAATTTATTATGCAAAAATCTGCTAATCCAAGTCCTGGTGGACGTACTGGAGGTCGTGGTCGCAATGGTGGTGGGCGTGGAGAAGCGGTGAGTGCAAGTGCTACTGCGTCTGCAAGTGTTGCAACCTCCAAGAGGAAAGGCAACCTCGACAGTTTGGGATCATTTTGACACAATTGAGGAGATCGACAATGAAGGTAATAGTAAACATATAGCTCAGTGTAAATATTGTTTATCTAAATTACAAGGTGACACTATTCACGGCACAACACACTTGAGAAGGCACTCTGAAAAGTGTCTTCAAAAGCTTAGCCAGTCCGGCGGAGCTGAACTCCGCCAAACACAATTATTTTTTGATCGCACAACCGGTTGTCTAACCACTTGGAAATACGATCCGCAAGTTGATCGTATGTAAGTTGCGCGAATGATAGCTGCATTAGATCAACCACTTAGTTTTGTAGAGCATCCTAATTGGTAATGATATATTAAAGTTGTACATAATCCTAATGCATAGTTCACTTCAAAAACTACTATTATGAAAGATTTGTTAAAATTATTTAAAAAAGAAAAAGAAGCATTAATAAACCTTTTACACCCGACTAGCGGTTACGTTGCGTTAACATCAGATATTTGGTATGCCGTTGCCAATAAAGATTATTTAGCTGTAACCGGATATTACTTTAAAGGATTCGATTTAGATAAGAGAATATTAAGTTTAAATGTGTTTTAGGATCACATAGCGCCGATTTAATATATAATACAATTTTAGATGTAATTGATGAATTTAGATTAAGAGATAAAGTAATGGCAATAACATTAGATAATGCTAGTGCAAATACTAAAATAATTGAGTACTTCGAAAATGATTTAAGTTTATTCAGTGATGGTACTATTTTCTACCAACGTTGTGCATGCCACGTAATGAATTTAATAGTTAAATCTAGTTAAAAAGAAATGGGTACTCACATTAAAAGAATTAGAGATAATATTGTATGGATTCAAGGTAGTAACCAAAGAGAACAAGATTGGTTTAGGTTCTTACAAGCATTAAATTTACCTCCTAGAGCATTAGCCTTAGATATGCCTGTAAGATAGAACTCAACTTATATTATGCTTCAACAATGCATCCCCTATAAGGATGCTATAACAAACTATATCTGTTTAAAATTAGGAACATAACATATAGACTCATATGATTGGAAAATTGCTGAAGTTTTGTATCATTTTAGGTAGTTTTAAGAATTAGTATTTTATTTAGTGAATATAGGGCATACCCAATCTTAGGAGTTCACATCGCTTTTATGGAAAAGAAATTTAAAAAACATTGGTCTAACTTGCATTTGTTGTATGGTTTCGGTACTATTTTTTATCATAGTTTAAAATTAGACCGTTTAGAAAGTGGTTTAGAAAACTTAAGTGAATTTTTAAGCATCAATTGTTATGACCAATTTCTAACATTAAAGGCAAAAATATTTTCGATCTATAGTAAATATGAGAATAGGTTTAGAAACACAAACTCTGGAGTACAGGAACCGCAACTTCAAGATGAAAACCCACATTCATTCTTGAATGTTTTCGGGTTGAAGAAGAAGAAGAAGACGACTCAAACAGAAGCTGGGAATGGATCTTCATCAACAGGTGGCAGAGGCGGCGGCGGCTTTAATGAGCTTATGGTGTACCTCAGTGAGAGCTTAGTAGTCGACGGTACTAGAGAATTGTTTGACTTAGTTCAATGGTGGAGGGCACGAGCATTAACTTGGCCAATCCTAACTCAATTGGCAATGGATTTTTTTTCGATCTCAGTCTCCACTGTTTCATCTGAACAAGCCTTCAGTACGACCGGATGATGAATGCCGAAATGCATTGCAAAGGGACATTGTTGAAGCCTTGGTCTACATTAAGGATTGGGATCGTGCCGATCAACGTTTATTGGATACAATTTCACCGGCAAGTCAAGAATAGATTGATGAATTTAATAGATTAACATTTAATTTTGAAGATGATCCTTCAGCTTCAAATTAAATTGTAATTTGTAAATATGTATTTACTTTTGACATTGTAAATGTATATTTAGACTTTGTAAGTTTATAAAATTTATATTTTGTCACAAAATGATTGCACTCTTTTTTTCTTACCAAGTTTTTATATAATTTTAACACAAAATAACTTAATAATTATTTATATACAAATACAATTACTAAATAATAGTATATTATATAATATACATATATATATAATATTATTAAAATTAAAAAATATAAAAATATTTTTTTTTCGGCATTTCGGGCGGGCTCAGTCTGCCCGACTGGGCTCGGGCAGCCAAAACCAGGCCTGTGGCCCGTCCACGGGCCTTCTCAGGCTCGGACGGGTGGCCCAAAAATTTTGAGTAAGTCGGGTCGGGCATCAGACACAAAATCAATTTTTTCAGGCGGTCGCGGACGGCCCGTCCAAAATTTCAATACTAACTACATATTAATGAATAATGACAGACATGGTTGTATCATTGATGTTTATTAGGATTTGTGTAGCGGTGTTTGCAAATTGCAACGAAATGTTGGATTTATTTATTTATTTATTCTTTGGGTTTTGTGGCAAAAGGGCGCTCTTGGAATATTCAAATATTTGCATGAAGAAGAAAATATTAATCTCAGCATTTCATTATTAAGGCTACATATATACATCATATGTTAGCTAAAATATAAAGTTTGCTCGCATCAAGGCAGGCATCTTAATTAGCTATTGTAAGTTTTTAAAAGATCGAATTGGTTGTTTTGAATTTTTAAAAGATCGGTCGATTTAGCTTAAGCCACATAATTAATCTTTACGGTCTACGTTGAAAAGAGATGAATAAGAGTATTATTTATGACGTGACATACATATTGTTTTGCCAACTACAACTATGACATGTAGTTGTCATAAGCTATCGTGTGTCTACTGTCTAGTATAAATCATAGGAAATATTGGATTATTTATTTCTGAAAGAAAGAAAAGTGTGCATGGGTCCTCTTCTCTTGATGTTATAGTTTGGCCATGCATCATGTGTAACTAATAAGTATAAAGTTTTAACCATACATTCAAAGAAGAAACCAAAACAATATAAAAATAAAAAAAATAAAAAAAACCAAAACAAAAAGGCAAAGTTTGGACCCATCAACCTAGCTAGGTAGGCATCTTTAACCATTTAAGTTCAATTGGTAATTTGAATAAGCAGTATAGAGTAGTCCTCTTATTAAATAATGATAATAATTAAAGTCTTCATAAGCTTAGCTTATTAACATTCTTTAGTTAGGCATCTTTAACCATTTAAGTTCAGTTGGTCGTGATTGGAGTGGCGACGACATGGGTTGCGGAGTTAATTTTTTAAATTAAAAACTTGACTAAAATGATACTTATCAAATAATTCAAGAACCTGCATTAATCGTGCTAATTACCCTTTAAATAATGGGTAAGTAATTAAAATCAAATGGCCAGCAGCATATATAATTGAAACTTTTAAAAACTTCTATACATAGTTTAGAATTAACTTTCTTGTCATATTGTTTGACGAATGCAAACTCGAGAAATAAATTAACTCTTGTATTCAAGTGTTTTTGTTTTGTTTTGTACTTGTTTTGTTTTATTGCTATTATTATTGCTATTATTATTATTATTATTATTCTTATTATTATTATTATTATCATTATTATTATTATTATTATTATTATTATTATTATTATTATTATTATTATTATTATCATTATTATTATTATTATTATTATCATCATCATCATCATCATCATTATTATTATATTGTTATTGTTATTTTTGGAGATCGACACGGAGAACTATTAAACTCAACATTTCGTCTATTTAAGTGATTATAGACTCAGACAGCTAAACAATTCATTTCTCTTTTCCAAGAAGACAGAAATATATATTAGTTGGCATTGCCTAATTATTGAAACATTTTACAGAAACTTGCCATCACTAGCTCGATCGGCTGGATGGTATTTTTCTTCTTTTACTGGACAAATATTAAACAAATTACACTATACGTGAACATATATAAAATAACCTCACTCGTGTAAAGCCACGTTAATTTATTTATTTATTTTTTGCCTTTTTGCTAATAAGACAAACATAACTGATCATCACTCATTAAGACAGTACTGATATTTGTTGATGAATAATACCATGATGATCATCCTCTTTTGGTCACTGAAATGATCACATTGATGAATTCAGTCTTCTCCTTAGACATACGATCAGCAATAATTTCCCTGTACCTGCGGAACACCTCTTCAATTATACCTTCACCAAAGTGGCTAACGAGCAAGGGCTCTGCCACGGCTCTCATGCACTTGGCAACACTGTACCCGCCGTCGTCAAGTGCATCGGACGGACTAAAATCACTGTGGTAGGCGTCCCAGTTGACTTGAGAAACCTCAAGCCGGTTGATGGTGAATGATCCTTCCTTGAGGACCTCAGATTTCACTTCTGATGGGCATGGTGTGTATTGAGGAATGTTGAAGGTGTCCAATTTATCTTCCTCTATTAGCCCCTACAAAAATTACAACATTTCTCACAAATATTATTCAGGTTTTGTTATTCAAGGTTTTTACTTGTCTTATAGTTATATGCGTCTAGAATTATTGTACCTCCGAGACCATGTCGTTTAGGGCAACAGCCAAAAGCTCCCAAATATAACAACCCTCTTTGCTAGATGGATCTTCACTTTTTCTTCCTAAAATTGTTAAGACCATACTCCCGCCGGGGACTAATTCTTCCGAACGACACTTGAGGAAGAATGAAAAATCTCTTTGGAATTGTTCCTGGTAAGCCTTAATCACACTTGTAGGGCTAGTACTATTCATGTAAATATTCCCTTTGTTATTCTCCACTCCATCAGGAACCTATATAATGAACAAAATACAATAAGCTACTCCATGAGTGGAGGGTTTAGTAGTGCATAGGTTTTCCAAGAGGGATGTTGTCCCAGTTCTATATTTCTTGATACTAGTTGTTTTTTTTTTTTAATTATTATTTTTTTATTTTAATTGAAAGAGGATATAACCGATATGAAATTAAGAAAGGATCATATCTTAACTAGCTAGGTTGGTATTGATCACCCGACACTTTATCAAATCTGCCACTCCAGTTTATTAAAAATAAATTAAAGAAACAATACGTAGTCAAAAGAATTGCATCAACTTCTGAAAGAAGCAAAAACCATTTAGAAATTACAATGTTTCATTGCTCCAATTCTTAACGAATCATATATAACTAAAAACTTAAAAAAGTGTACGGTAATTAGTATTTTTCATTCATATTTTATAATACATACATATATACATTAACATCTAGGAGTTTCTTTTTTTTGGGTATTTCTTTCTGTATCTTTAGTAGTGGATTATAGAGAGAGTGTATTTCTAAACCCATAAAATCCGATCAAAGTTACATCAAAATAAAAAGGTTCATAAAACTGATAGAACCTAATATAGTTGTAATGATTTGAATTAGAGCCCTATTCGTATCGTATATTTTCGTACTCTATTATATACATACATATATATACGTAGTTATGTATTATATTGTATAGTATACGTAACGTATGTATGTATTATATTGTATAGTATTGTGATAATTTTGTACGAAGTTAAGTACCTGAGACAGCCATTGGAGACTGTATGATGAGTGAACAAAATGCAGAATTTTGCTAGGGAAAAGCCTGCCATAAAAGGAACCCGGGACGCCGGTGAAGAAACATTGGCCGAACCCGGGACCCATTTTGTCTCTGAGTTTCTCTTGAAAGCTTGGCAGGGATTTGAAAATGGAGTTGAAGTCATTCCCCGGAAGATCATTGAGTAACACTTGAAACTCAGGTGATTGGCGACCGAGTTTTCGGCAAAGACGGTGCACCGTTTTGACGAGTTCGGAGACCACCAACAAAGTGTTTGGTCCAGAAGAACAACCCAAGTCAGCTATAACTAGCCTCGTTGAGGAGCTGTTGCTGTAGTGGTTTACTATGGCTTCCTCAGTGATGGGCTTGGTCATGGATATCACCTTTTTCTGAAGTCATGTAAACTCAAATCCACGTAAGATATATATATGACAAATTCATTCATATGTTTACCTATCGAATGCTACCATAGAATTTACATATAATTCTTCCAAATAGTAATGGTAGGGTACTACAAAGACCCTACCTAGCAAAAAAAACCATTATATTTCATTGAGTTAGGTTAAATTTTGTAATAATATTTCGTTAATGATATTATGATATGACGATTCGGAGTTGTGCAACATCAATAAGGTATTTTTGTATCCTATCACAGAATGACCTCATTAGCATTTTATGCAATAATTTATCTATATTGAGTACTAAATAGCTTGATATATATGATATACGAACAACATTGAATTGTTGATAAAGGGAAGAATTACCTGAACCAAGGAATTGTTTGCGTAACTTGTGTCTCCAATTCCTCCATTCATGTGAAGAACTTGAACTACTTCCATCTCTCTCTCTCTCTCTCTAGATTTCTCTTGCTTGAGTGTATGTGAATTAATGTGTTTGCTTGATTTGTTCAATGAGAGGCTACCACTATTTATAGTGATCTCATGAAAGTGGTGTCAACATTTTGTCACATTTAAAATAAAATTAAAATCTTAAATGTATCGGAGTCTAAAATAGTAGACTAATTTTTCGACCTTATAATAAGTGTGTCATAGGACCATGTGGTGGGGACACATTGAACAACTGAATCAAGAGCCACATATTGGCTGTCAGCGGAAAAGAACGTGCTTTCAGCCTTTTACCAACCAGCTATATGTCCTTTCTGCCTCCATTTAATTAGTGAATACAGCCTTACAGTCATTGGCCACGGGAAGCTTACCTTACGTATGTGTCAATGGATCAATATTATTGAACATAACCTTATGTACTGTCTTTTTAACATCAAAAGGAGAATTCCGTTTCCCTACCTCAATTATTGAACAACCTTTATGTAGTTATACCACGTCAAGTATTGATTTTTCACTGCATAATCCCTTTTTTTCCAAAAAAAAAAAAAAAAAAAAAAAATGTTGAAACATACTCTAGCTGTTATCACTACTATTTTTTAACACGTTAAAAATTAAGAAAATAAGACTCTACATGACGGGGTTCGGATAACGGGTGTCTCATAAATAGTGGATTTTACCTTATTGAATCCACACCGTTTGTGCGACAACTACATTCAATTACACGCCCGTCAGATTGAACACGAGTGCTCTAAAGATTAATATCGAAACTTGCGTGGAATCTTATTATAATCAGTATTGATTTTTAAAGTTGAACATATTCATTAATCTTTTATCAGGGAAGTCCACGTACGATTGTTAAAAAAATGTTGTGATATATAGCAGTACTGTTCATTTTTTCTAATACATATTAGCAGTATTGATTTTTAAAGTTATTCATTAATATTTTTTTAGGGAAGTCTACATATGATTGTTTAAAAAAATGTGGTGATATATAGCAGTACTGTTCATTTTTTGTTAATATTATTTTTGTCATATTATGGTACTTGCGCCTCCCAGCTCACTAGATCACCGCCTTTTTTTAATTCCTTTTCTATCGCTAAAAGGAAGTACCATGATGTTTGCTCTTTATCAACTCCTTTCTTGGAAGAACATATGTACCTTGATGTTTGCTCTTTATCAACTCCTTTCTTGGAAGAACATGTATATATATATATATATCGACAAAAAGTCAATCTTAACGTTAAAAGTTGAATTAAGTAAATGGAAACACAACATAAAATGCACCAATCAATCAATCCCATGATGACGGTCCAAAAGCATGCATGCAGACGTCAGACATGTGAGGTATGAACATCTTATGTATGCAGTTTCCTGTGAAAGTGCAAAGGATTACGCCGGTCTAGTTAGTATGGTGTGAAAACGAGTATAAGGCAGCAGTCCCTAACTTGCATTAATAATTTAAACGTCTTATATGACACTTTAAATATTATGGTTATTATTATTTGTTTTGCTGGAAATGGCGTACCATACAATATAATAAAATCATTACGCTAGTAATGACGTTTGGAGAACTTAAACCAATTAATGACCTCATAATTAAGATTAGGAAGGACTTTTCTATCTTATGAAACTATTCAACAAATTTTTTACTCTAGTAATGACGTTTAGAGAACTTAAACCAGTGACCTCGTAAATATTAGGAAGGATTTTTCTAGCTTACGAAACTATATAATAAATTCTTTACTCTAGTAATGACGTTTAGAGAACTTAAACCAATGACGTTTAGAGAACTTAGACGCCCGTCGTGTGAAGATTCTGATCCAAGGGAAAAAGAAAAGACAAGAAAAAGTTGTTGAAATAAAGTAGTGCAAAAAAGAGGATTTAACGACGCTTAAAAAACAACATTAAAATTTAACGATGCTTTAAAAGTGTTGCTAAGTCTGAACAATGTTGTTACTGTTGGTTTCTCAAACTGGATTTTCAAAAAAAATTGTGCGGAAGCGTGGTATCGATCGAATCACATAAATTAAAATTTAATGCGATCATTATTTCATGTTAATTTAACTACAAAGATATTAAAGAAAGGAATGAGGATTTGACCGTCGTTCGATTAGGACATAAATCTTGAACTCCTTCAACACCGTCTTGACCTCTTCAATTCCAAGAACACCACGATTCTTTCTCAACGTATCTCCGGATTAACGTGAACTCAAACGCGTGGGCGTTGTAATGAGTTTCTCAACACATGAGATGGATGAATATAGAGGCCACCTATAGTTATCACTCACTTTTCTCAAAAGTATGTTATAGCACTCTGGAAATTTTCCTTTTTAGTTTTTCTTTTTGTTCTCCCGTTTTTTTTTTCACCCTTTCTCTCCTCTAGGAAAAATTAATCCACGCTAAGGATTAAAAACCTTCACTCCGAGGAACCCAATCCTCCATGACTGTGACCTTTTCCTCATAGGGAGGAAATGTGCAACAGCACGTTTCCTCCACTTAATTTTTTTTTTTTTGAGGAAACGTGCACATGCACGTTTCCTTTCTTTTATATATATATATATTAATGGGGGAGAAGAGGGAAACGTGGAGAAAGAAAAAAAATCCCTCTAAATTCATCCATCAATATGATATATTCAGTTCACATTAATCTTATAGAGCCATTGAGATGAACTATGGACATTATAATTTTAAGCTCTAATAATTTTGACAATTAATTAACACCTTAATTAATATGTCAAAATTATTAATTCCAAATTACTCCACTATAAATTTGGAATTGCACTCTCAAACTAATAAAACAATTATGTTCACGGAATTTGTGTTGTCCATTGATATAGTCACTACATACGAATTAATCCTCCATAAACGGTTCATAATTAAATCTAGGTATTTTCCGTTAACCTCTTTAATATATCTTTATCTATAAGTACCATTGATCCTCTAATGAATAATATATTTTATGATCCAATCATAAAATTGAACGCTCTTATTATTTAAGTCCCGAATCAACACTTACAGGAACCGTCCATCTACTTCATTATGAAGGAATGCATTTCATCTTGTAAATTAATATTCCCGGCTATTTATTTTACTATGCTCCCAATATACCAAGACTTTGACACTATTCACATGTGTCATTACTTAATATGTCAAAGAACATAATATCATAAATAAGAGTTTATTAATTACTCAGAATTAAGATTAATTCATATATGACCATCATTGATTAATATTGAATATTCTATTTAATAACGGAATTTATTAGATATTCATAATTAATTGCGTTCCGGTCCTATGTAATCATATTACATAAAATGCTTTCATTCCAATAATCTCATTATTAATAATCTGGGATAAGATTGTTTGATTCAGAATGTAATGAACCGCATTAGTAATTTTAAATTAATGATCCCAACTTTAATTTATAATTACGGACAAGTTTAGATTATTTTATTTCAAACATTATCCTTTGTATATAACAATTATATACAATGTTTAAAGCCACATCAAAAAATAATCTAGGGATTTTGATATTTATAAAACATCACATGTATGCAAAATAATATTGAAAAATTCCTCATTTCATTGATAATCAGCAAAATTTTACATCTTATTTGATTTATGGGCATATATCCCAACAATCTCCCACTTGCCCTTAAGCAAATGAGGCATGTCTCTAAGTCCCATATTTTCAAGATGTCTCTCAAAACTCCCAGCTGGTAATGTTTTGATAAACGGATCAGCTATGTTATTCGCGGATGTGATCTTTTCAACTGAAACATCTCTTCTAGAAACAATCTCTCTGACCAGGTTGAATTTTTGCTCTATATGCTTTCCTTTGCAGTGGTTCCTGGGCTCCTTGGCATTGGCCAATGCTCCACTGTTGTCACAATAGAGTATGATAGGCTCATGCATATTTGGAACAACTTCCAATTCCTCCAGAAATTCACGAAGCCAAACAGCTTCCTTAGCTGCTTCACAAGCCGCTACATACTCAGCCTCCATGGTTGAGTCAACAATACAAGATTGCTTGATACTCCTCCATATGATGGCTCCATTTCCCAAAGTGAACACTGCCCCTGAGGTGGACTTACGAGAGTCCCTATCCGACTAAAAATCAGAATCAGTATATCCAATAGGAATTAAATCCCTACCAGAGTATACAAGCATATGGTTTCTCGTCCTCCTCAAATATTTGAGTATGTGTTTGACTACAACCTAATGATCTAATCCTGGGTTTGACTGGTATCTGCTAACCAACCCTACTGCATAGCATATGTCAGGTCTAGTACATGGCATTGCATACATCAGGCTACCAACTGCCGATGCCTAGGGAACTCGTCTCATATCCTCTTCCTCTTGAGGTGTCTTTGGACACTGCTCCTTTGAGAGATAAACTCCATGTCGAGAAGGCAAATTTTCTTTCTTGGAGTTTTGCATCGAAAACCTGACAAGCACATTGTCAATATATGATGCCTGAGACAATGCCAAAAGTCTATTTTTGCGATCCCGGATAATTTGGATCCCAAGAATATAGTTGGCTTTTCCCAAATCCTTCATTTGGAATTGACTGGCTAGCCAGTTCTTTACTTTGGATAACGATTCTATATCATTCCCAATGACATAAAGAACCAAGAAGACCACTTTATCTCCTTGAATTTGCTTGTAGACACAAGGTTCACCAAGATTTTGTTCAAAGCCATAAGATTTGATAGCTTCGTTAAATCTGATGTTCCAAGATCTAGATGCTTGCTTTAGTCCATAAATTGACCTCTATAATTTGCAGACTTTCTGCTCTTGGCCTTCTACCACGAAACCCTCTGGTTGGACCATATGAATGGTCTCTTCAAGATGCCCGTTCAGAAACGCCGTCTTGACATCCATTTGCCATATCTCATAGTCATAATGAGCAGCAATGGATAAGAGTATGCGGATGGATTTTAGCATGGCTAGAGGGGAAAAAGTATCCTCATAGTCTACTCATTCCTTTCGGGTAAAACCCTTTACAACCAATCTTGCTTTGAACGTTTCAACTTTTTCATCAGCTCCTCTTTTTCTCTT